TTCGAGACTTTTTGCTCAATTTTATGGCATTAATCCCGAGACATTATCTCGCGAATTTAATTTTTCGAAAATTCTTCCATATTTGTTTTCTAGTGTAGCTCAGTATCCGCTGGACCAATCAAAAAGTGTGCCATACATTTTTTGTTCGAAATTTTTCCGAATTTTATTGGCAATATTGCCGAACGATTATCTCGCAAATTTAATTTTTCGTAATTTTTTCCGAATTTGTTTTTTACTGTAGCTCAGCATCCGCTGGACCAATCAAAAAGTGGCCCATACATTTTTTGTTCGCTACTATTTGCTAAAGACTGTTACGGTATTCCGGAATGATTATCTCGAAAATTTAATTTTTCAGAAATTTTTCCAAAATTATTTTGAGTGTAGCTCAGCATTCTCTGGACCAATCAAAAAGTGCGCCATACATTTTTTTTTAGAACTTTCTTCTAACTACTTTGGCGGTATTCCCGAACGATTATCTCGCGAATTTAATTTTACAGAAATTTTTCCAAAATTATTTTGAGTGTAGCTCAGCATCCGCTGGACCAATTAAAAAGTGCGCCATATATAAATAATAAAACAGTTACATAACCTCAAACTCAAAAATGTGTTTTCACGAAAACAAAAATAAAAATTAATTTTAATTAATAAAAATCTTTCAAAATACCAAAATTAATTGAAATTTTTAGTTTACATTAAAAAATACAACTTAAAGTCATTTTTTAATTTGAGGTTATGTTTCCACTCTAATTTACGTTCTATAAAATCGATAAAAATTTATACAGTAATTTAATTATTTAATTCCAAAATCAAATTTTCAAAAAAATACTCTTCTTGTAAAAGAGCGTTTTTTTTTTTTTAAAAATTCTAAAGAAAATTTTTTTTCTAATAACAAAGGAAAATAATTTTAATGACAAGGACTGATGACATTAGTGTCAGAACGTGGTTTTGTAAAGGGGTCAAAAAGAGGGGATGAAAGGGGGGGGGGTGTTGACCACGACGTGTCCAGTCCTAATTCCTCTGTTTGAGTATGCAAACGAAAGCGCGCCTAGGATATGATGAAAAAGCAGGACAGCACGTTGTCCCAACTCGTTCGCTTTGCGGTTTGCCATTAAACAGGCGCGATATAGTCATATAAGAATCCCAATAAATACAAAACTAATAATAAGCACAATTTAAATTATCAAAAAAATAAAAAAAAATTATTTTACGTAAAAAAAACAACTTTAACCTAATGTCTCATATCTAATTTACATTCAATACTTAATTAATTCAAAGAAAATATTCATTTTGTTAACGAGAGAGGTCCGAACACTCTCTTTTGATCGATATAACAAAACAACGAAATTGTATTTTCAGCACGAACGCGCGTCACCTGAAATTGCCATGGACCATTCGCACGGGTTTTTCTTTTTCCAAAAAAAACTGAAAATACACTTCACAGAAAATATTCCCTCCTCAAAAAGGGGAAAATACAAATTTTATTTAATTATTTTTATTTTAATCATTTTTTTATTTTAATTATTTTTATTTAGGTATAGAATTTTTTATTTTAATTATTTTTATTTATAGAATTTTTTTAGTTTAATTATTTTTATTTATATAATTTTTTTATTATTTTTTTTATTTATTTTTATTTATAAAATTACAAATTTAAAATTTCCTGTATTTTGTGAAAAAAATGGGGGGTTTGACATATAGAAAACTTTCGCGTTGGAAAAAAAAGGAAGAGGCAAATTGAAGAATAAAGAGAAGTTGAAGGTATGGACCCCCATTGTATATTAAAATTAAGGTAATATATTAAACCAACTTAATGCTATTCTGCTTCCTTATATCCCTGGGAAATATTCGTGTGTCTATATATATGAGAAAGCTCACGGGAATGTTTTAGTGTTGAGTAAAAGGGGGTGAACAAAAAAAGAGAAGAATATGAAGAGAAGAATAACTCCCTTGATCGTTATATAATAACCGCTTGGATCAACTTTACAAAAAACTATGTTCTCCACTAAGAGCTTTTTTATTCAGGCTATCACGTTCAAAAAAAAAAAAAAAAAAGAGGGGACATTTTTTTTCCTTTTTCTAAATCTCTCTCGTTTTTGACAAATTTTAATAACGCTTCATAAATAAAAATTTATTAAATTTTCTATTGTAATTTATATAATTATTTATTTTTTCTTTCTTTCTTTATTTTTTTTTCTTTAAATATTTTTTATTTATTTCTTTATTTATTATTTATTTATTTATTTATCAGTAGCACAAGTCAATATTTAGTCACATTTTTTAAATTTTATTACTATTTTTTTGGAATTCGATTTTGTAAATTTTTGTAATTTTTTAAGTAGTACAAATCAATATTTAGTCAGACTTAGTAATTTTTTTGTAATTCTATTATCAGTAGTAGTGGTCAATAATTAGTCAGACTTTCTAAATTTTTTAAATTTTATTACTAATTCTTTAGTTGGATTTTGTAAATTTTTGTAATTTTTTAAGTAGTACAAATCAATATTAAGTCAGAATTAGTAATTTTTTGCAATTCTATTTTCAGTTGTAGTGGTCAATAATTAGTCAAACTTTCTAAATTTTAAAAATTTTATTAGTAATTCTTTAGTTGGATTTTCTAAATTTTTTGTAATTTTCTAAGTAGTACAAGTCAATATTTAATCAGACTTGGTAATTTTTTTGTAATTCTATTATCAGTAGTAGTGGTCAATAATTAGTCAGACTTTCTAAATTTTTAAAATTTTATTACTATTTCTTTAGTTGGATTTTCTAAAAAATTTTTAATTTTCCAAGTAGTACAAGTCAATATTTAGTCAGAATTTAATTTTTTTTCGTAATTTTGTTAGTAGTACAAGTAAATATTTAGTAAGACTTAATATATTTTTTGTAATTTTATTAGTAGTAGTAATAGTCAATATTTAGTCAGACTTCGTAATTTCGTTAGTAGTGCAAGTAAATATTAAGTCAGTCTTTTTAATTTTTTATTCGTAGTTCAAGTCAATATTTTAGTCAATCTTTCCCACTTGGAAAGATTCCCCGGAAAGTGCCCCCTGGAGGTTCTATCAGAATTCCGCCGGAACTTCCAACGTAATTCCCGACGGAATTCCATCGGAGTTCCAAAAAATTTCCGATGGTATTCCGACGGAATTCCGACGGAATTAGGACTCTAAAAATGTTGGAAAAAATTAATCAGAATTCCGTCGGAATCCCATCGGAAATTCTTTGTAACTCCAATGGAATTCCGACGGAATTACGTTGGAAGTTTCGGCGGAATTCTGATAGAACCTTCAGGGGGCACTTTCCGGGGATTTTTTTCCAAGTGGGTTATAATTTTATTAATAGTACAAGCAAATATTTAGTTAGACTTCGTATTTTTTATCAGTAGTACAAGTAAATATTTAGTCAGACTGTAGTTTTTTTATCAGTAGTATAAACAATATTTATTCAGCCCTAAATTTTTTTTAAAATTCTATCAGTAATTCAAATAAATATTTAGTCAGAAGGCCTATTTTTTTGTAATTTAATAAGTAGGACAAGTAAATATTTAGTCAGACTTTATAATATTAATTAGTAGTAAAAAAAAAATAAAACTGACGTTTTTAAAAAAAAATTTCTCCTAATAAACATTTTGTTTATTATTTTTCATTTATACATACACAAAAAAGGCGGGAGAATTTAAAACTTTTTTTTTTTTATCTAGAGATAAGAATCTCTTAAATGGTTCATAAAATATTTGAAGAGAAATTTTAATTAATATCTCGTGAAGGCTGGCAAACTTAGAAGAATAAAAGAAGAGAGAGAGAGAGAGAAAGAGAGAAGGAGAAGAAATTAAAAAGTGATGAATTGGTAAGATGGAAGAAAGGATGTTGATGAAAGGCTGCCCCGTATAAAATTTTTTTTTTCTTTTTTTTTGAGAGAGAGGGGGGCAAGGAGAAGGGGATGAAAGCGATTCTCCAAGGAACGAGGGAACATATCGGTATTTTTATCAACACAGGTTATTGCTGGCAAACCCCTTGGAGAAAGGGCAGCACTTTTGAGAGAGAGAAAGAGAGAGAGAGAGAGAGAGAGGAGTTTTGAAACTTCTGGTTCCAATCGCATTCCCCAACAAGTCCATTGGCATTTTGCCAGGCGAAACAACGAAATTTCACCGATGCGAGGGAAAATTCATGCGTTGAAAACTATACTTCAAATGTTTGTGCCATTGTACCAGCCGATGGGGATTCTCCCCCCTCTACCTTCGTTTCAATTGTTAAACAAATGTGAAAACAGTACATTATTAAAAACAGTCGAGTAAACTTCACTTTACACAAATTAAATTCACTTGCCGGGGGAAAATGCATTTCAATTGTTTATAATATCATTGACTTTACTTAAATAAACATTAAAATACCACTGATGTGAAAATTATTTATTTTTTTTTTATTCACTCATGTAGAAAATATTTTAAATTCAAAGAAACGAGGTCAATGTTTTTTTTTCCTTTAAAAAAGAATCCTTCAAAAAATAATTTTCAAAAAATATTTCGAACAGCGATATATTTCTCTAGAATAGCGAAAAATTTCGCTGTTTCAGTGAAACTTATGCCTGTTCCAGGTAAATCAAAAATTCCATTTTTGTAATCAACTTCCACTTTATTTTTTTTTTTTTTTTATTTTTATCTTTCACGCAAAAGGAACTTTATGAAAAAAAAAAAAAAAAAAAAAGAAAACAATTCTAAATTAAAGGTAAATAAAAGTGACATTAAACAAGCTTCTTGATTACTGAGAAACATATAAAAAAGTGTAATAAAAAAAAAATTATATTCCCTTAGCTAAAAATAAACAAAACGGTTAGGGACGAATAGGGGAAGTTGATTAAAATAAATTTTTAACTTTCATCGTGTTGGTTATCGTAATATTTTTTTTTATGTTCAAGATTTTTTCTTTACGCGAGCATTTTTTTTCAAAACTTTGCGACAAATATAAATTTTCAGTTGGAAAAAAAAATAAAATTATAAATTTTACCTTTATTCCAAGATTAGGTGTCAAAACTCCATAATCGTGTAAGGTTGGCAACATAACCGGGGGAAGATTTGTCATCATCATCCTGTCTGCTATTTGATGATCAACTTTCCTAGGAAAACTTCACTTTTTTTTTTTATAATTATATTGATGATCTACTAACCTACCTGAAACAAACAAAAAAAAAATCAAATATTAAACACAGAAAAAATAAATAAATTTATATTGTTACCAAAATTTTTATAATTCAGTGAAAAATATTTTTAAATAGAAAAAAATATTTCACAAAAAGAAACGTCTCTTGTGAATTTAAATCACTTTACGATACAGTGGAAATTTTTATAAAAGACTCTTGGGGAATTAAGAAAAAATTTTTTTAAAAAAATTATCTCTAAAAATAAAAATAAAAAATATTAATGATAATTTGATAAAGTATATATAATAAAGTAAAAAAAAATTTTTTCATCAACTTTTCACGTTAATAACTATTATCGAAATTTGTTTACCGGGCAAAACTCCCTTTTTTACATGACCACAGGGGGAAATGTGGTATTTTCTATTTTTTTTTTTCTTTTTCCCCAGCTCTCAATGCATTGAAACGAGATCAGTCACCAAATACCAAAAACCAACGAATCGATTTGTGTGCCTCGAATTCCGCGCAGCAAATTACATCAAACTCCAATTTTACCATCAATGGTTGGATCGTCAAAATTTTTCTCTCTTTATTTCAACTATTTACAGTAGTAAAACTTTTTATATGGAAAAACGGTCTTTGAATGTTTATATACTCGTACTCATCGATATTTATTCCTCCCTCCCTCTCCTTCTCCTACTCTCCTTTTTTTATGACGAAATAACGGGCATAAACCGAACACTCGACAAATTTTCAAAACCCAAAATTTTCAATTTGAAAAATAATTATTGACAAGAGAAGAGGAAATTTTTCTTGTTTTTTAGGATGGCAATTTATTTTTTTCAACATTATTATGACGGTATGAAAACGGTGCTTAGTCATGAAAAATTAAAAAACTAATATTTTATTGGCTAACAAATTTTTTAATAAAACTGATTTTTTTAAAATAAAAATAATTAACAAAAATTAATTAATTACTAAATATTTACAATAATAAAATTTCTAACGATTGTAATTTTATTAGTAGTAAGAGTCAATATTTAGACAGATTTTGTAATTTTTTTCAGTAGCAGAATTAAATATTTAATCAGAATTTGTAATTTTTTCAGTAGTACAATATTTTGTCAAACATTAAAATTTTTATCAGTGATACAAGTAAATACTTGGTAAGACTTTGTAATTTTTTATTAGTAGTACGAATCAATATATAATCAGACTTTAATTTTTTTTCAATTTTGTCACTAGTAACAGTATTTAATCAGATTTACTATTTTTTAAATTCTATCAGTAGTAAAAGTCAGTATATAATTAAAATTTTTAATTTTGTCAGTAGTACAAGTAAATATTCAGTCAAACTTATTTATATTTTATAATTTAATTACTAGTTTAGTTTAGTTCGATTTACAACATTTTTGCAATTTTATAAGTAGTACAAGTCAATATTTAGTCAGAATTTATTTATATTTTTTTTGTAATTTTGTCAGTAGTACAATTAAATATTTAGTCAGACATATTAATTGTTATCAGTAGTACAAGTAAATACTAAGTCAGAAATTGTTATTATATCATTGGTTCAAATAAATATTTAATCAGTATTTCAAATTTTTTTTTGTAATTTTGTCAGTAGTACAATTAAATATTTAGACAGACATTTCAATTGTTCTCAGTAGTACAAGTAAATACTAAGTCAGAAATTGTTATTATATCATTGGTTCAAATAAATATTTAATCAGTATTTCAAATTTTTTTTTGTAATTTTGTCAAGTAGTTTGAGTAAATAATTAGAATTTATAATTTCTTTTATAATTTTGTTAAGTAGAACAAGTAAATATTTCATCAGACTTTGTAATTTTTGTTGTAATTTTGTCAGTAGTAAAACTCAATATTTAGTCAGACTTTATAAATTTTTAAAATTGTATTACAATTTTTTTTGGATTCGATTGTCTAAATTATTGTAATTTTCTAAGTAGTACAAATCAATATTTAGTCAGACATTTTAATTATAGTACTAGTTCAAGTAAATATATAGTTAGTATTTCTGTTTTTCTTTGTAATTTTGTCAAGTAGTACAAGTAAATATTTAATCAGACTTCGTAATTTTTTTTAAATTTTAAGTAGTACAAGTAAATATTTAATCAGACTTCGTAATTTAAAAAAAATTATCAGTAGTACAAGTCAGTATTTAGTCAGACTTTATTAAATTTTAAAAAAATTTATTACTATTTTTTTTGGATTCGATTTTCTAAATTTTTTTAATTTTAAAAGTAGTACTAATCAATGTTCAGTCAGAAATTCTAATTTTGTTTTGCAATTTTGTCAGTAGTACAAGTAAATATTTGGTCAAACTTTTTGAATTTTTTCAATAGTAAAATTAAGTATATAGTCAAATTAACTATTTTTTAAATAATTTATCAGTAGTACAAGTAAATATTTAATTAAGTGTTGTAATTTTGTCAGTAGTACAAGTAAATGTTAAGTCAGACGTTTTTAATTATTTACTATTAATTTAAAAAAAAATATTTTTAATTTCTTTTCCAATTTTTTTATCAAAATTTAAATTATTATTGTCATTATTATTAATAATATTTTTTGTTTTAAATATTTAATTTAAAGGAAAATTAATCGACTTCAAATATTTACCTGAACCGAATATTTTTTGATAATAATATTAATAATTTATTTTTAATAAAATTAATTTATTCCCCTGTTGTATAATTTATTTTTAATCAAATAAATTTATTTCCCTGTTGTATAATTTATTTCTCGTCAATCATTTTTTTTTTCAAACTTCAATTTTATTACAAAGAAAATAAAAAAAATATAATTTTTTTATCCATTTCTTTTTTTTTTACATAATTAGTAAAATTGTTTGAGAATAAAATTTCCATCTAGCCAAAGCCTATATACATATATATATGTAAAACAACAACATATGAGGGACGGATTTCAATTACAAAACGAGCCAATTATAGAATTAATCCATTAAGATTAACATGGGGGCAAAGAGGGCGGTTCTCTCTTGTATATAGAAACAAGCTTAACGGACGGAAGTCGCTTTACCTGAGGTACAAACCCCTGTGTTTTAACCCTTCCTCTCTCTCCCACACCCACTATAACGAAAGGGTGAAATGGGAATAGAGATTTCACGCAAGGTCTTACGTTGGGGGGATTTGCCCGCTAAGCCCCGTACCCAGGGCTTCAGGGTTACAGTTCTCTCTCTTTCTCTCTCTCTCTCTCTCTCTCTACACTTTTGCTAGTGACGCTTAGATTGGTGGACCACGTGACACCAATCTAAGTTTTCAACTGGAAGCTTTAAGTCGTTACACGTAGGGACGACGTGCGCCACCATACCGATCTAATCTACCGTATGGCGCGCGCGATTGTCAAAAGCTTAAACGTGAAAATGGTCTCGCACGACACTTTACACGATTGCCTGCTGATATCTTCAAAACTACATTTTCAAAATCAAAATTTCTATTTAATTACAGATTAAAAGTCATTTCAAATAATGCGATTAATTTATTCGTTCAAAATATTTATTTTATTTCCATTTTTTTATTTATTTTACTATTTTTTTGGGGATTTATTATTATTATTTATAAGTAGTACGAATCAATATTTAGTCAGACTTAGTAATTTTTTGTAATTCTATTATCAGTAGTAGTGGTCAATAATTAGTCAGACTTTATAATTTTTTTTAAATTTTATTACAATTTCTTTAGTTGGATTTTCTAAATTTTTTGCAATTTTCTAAGTAGTACAGGTCAATATTTAGTCAGAATTTAATTTTTTTTGTAATTTTGTTAGTAGTACAAGTAAATATTTAGTAAGACTTAATATATTTTTTCTAATTTTATTAGAAGGAGTAATAGTTAATATTTAGTCAGACTTCGTAATTTCGTTAGTAGTGCAAGTAAATATTTAGTCAGTCCTTTTTAATTTTTTATTCGTAGTTCAAGTCAATATTTTAGTCAATCTTTCCCACTTGGAAAGATTCCCCGGAAAGTGCCCCCTGGAGGTTCTATCAGAATTCCGCCGGAATTTTCAACGTAATTCCGTCGGAATTCCTTCGAAGTTCCAAAAAATTTCCGATGTGATTCCGGCGGAATTCTGATAGAACCTCCAGGGGGCACTTTCCGGGAAATCTTTCCAAGTGGGTTATATAATTTTATTAATAGTACAAGCAAATATTTAGTTAGACTATTGTATTTTTTATCAGTAGTACAAGTAAATATTTAGTCAGACTAGTTTTTTTTATATAGTATAAGACAATATTTATTCAGCCTTAAATTTTTTTTTTAAATTCTATCAGTAATTCAAATAAATATTTAGTCAGAATTCCTACTTTTTTTGTAATTTAATAAGTAGGACAAGTAAATATTTGGTCAGACTTTAGAATTTTAATTAGTAGTAAAATAAAAAAATAAAACTGACGAATAATGTGATTAATTTATTCGTTCAAAATATTTGTTTTATTTCAATTTATTATTTATTTTACTATTTTTTTTTGGATTTATTATTATTATTTATAAGTAGTACGAATCAATATTTAGTCAGATTTAGTAATTTTTTAATTTTATTCAGTAGATCGAATCCATATTTAGTCAGACTTATTAGTAATTTTATTTATTATATTCTATATTATCAGAAGTACTTTTTTGTAATTTTGTCAGTAGTATAAGTAAATATTCTAGTCAGACTTTCTATTTTTTTTTTAATTTTATTACTATTTTTTGCTTAAATTTCCTAAATTTTTGTAATTTTATAAGTAGTACAAATTAATATTTATTCAGACTTCGTAATTTTTATTAGTAGTACAAGTAAATATTTAGTCAGACTTTTTAATTTTTTTCTAAGTAGTACAAGTCAATATTCAATCAGAATTTCTATTTTTTTTGTATAGTATAATATAATATTACATAGTACAGTATAATATAATATTATATAGTACAATATAATATATGTTATATAATATAATATCATTTGTAATGAATCAAAAAATATCAGTAATTTCCATATATGCAAACGCTTACA